TCTGAACCTATTTTTGATAGGTTTAAACGAGTTGCTCCCTTTCCAGATAGACTCAGGCTTAGAAAATACTTCCCTTAGGAGGAGAAGATCTTAGAAACTTTCAAGTAAGTTAAGTTCAACATTCCTCTCTAAGATGTAATTGAACAAATCTCTTCCTATGTAAAATTTTTAAAAGATTTGTGCACTAAGAAGAGAAGAATAAATATTTTAAAAAAAGTCTTTTAGCTACCAATATCAGTGATATGCCCTCAAAGCCCATGCTTTTGAAACGTAAAGATCCAGGTTGTCCTATCATTTTATGTGTTATTGGAAATACCTACATTTATAAGGCGCTTTTAGACTTAGTGGCCAGTGTTAATTTTCTTCCTCATTCAGTCTAACATCAACTTGGTGTAGGTGAACTGAAACCAGCCAGATGCATCTTGTAGTTAGTTGGTAGATTTATCAAAGTCCCCTTGGGTGAGATAGAAGATGTTCATATTAAGGTTGGGGATTTTATTTTTCCAGAGAATTTTGTAGTCTTGGAAACAGAACCCGTTTCCAATTCCAAAGGACAAATACTTATCATCTTAGGAAGACCATTCCTAGCTACTTCTATTGCTCTCATCAACTGTAGAACTGGTCAAATGAAGCTGTCATTTGGGAATTTGACTGCTGATCTTAACATTTTCAATCCAGAGAACCAACAAAATGATCAACCTCTAGAGATAAATTACATTTAGGAAAGACCAAAAGAAGAAGAAGAGAATAAGTCAGATCTTAGTTTTGAGGAAAACTATGGTGAGGAGCTGAAGATATTAGAAAAATTATATCAGGTATTTCAGAACGAGGAAACTGTGTTAAATACATGCTTCTTTAACCCAAAATTTGAAGAACTCTTTGTTGATGAACTTAGATTCTTAGAAAACAAATAAGAACCAAAATTTCATACCTCAACCATGAATGTTGGGGTTAAGAAATTTTTTAAAGAAGAATTGGTTGTAGAGCACAAGCCTTCATAAATAAAGAGTTTAAGTTTAATAAGAAATTCAAAATGCATGACACTGGTGATATCTACCTTCAATTGCTACAAAAATTATTGAAACCTTTGGAGAATGCAGAGTTTAAGCACAATAATGATCATGAATTTTCAATAATAGTTAAAATAATTTCTGGTATTTTAAAATATTCAATTATCATTTTCAAAAGAGTATTTATATTTTCTCGATTTTCTAAAATTTGCTATGTTTTAAAAGTCTAAATTTTATATTTATTTAAATGATTTTGATATTTATAAATTAACTTAGTACAGTAAAAACTTTTAAATTAATCCGTTGTGTTATCGGTACTATTACGTATTATTTTGTGTAACCTGTTATGTTAATGTAACTAGTACGTATTAATTTGTAAATAAAATTTTCATAATTATTTAATTTAATACGTAATAAATTATTAATTATATTTAATATTTTTGTTAAAAACCCTAACCCTATATATACATATTTTTTTCTTTTCTTTTTGCTTCTCCTTTCAGTCAACCAAAACCACAATCCCTCCTTCTCTTCTCTCGTCCACGTCGCTAGCACCCCTAACCCAAATCGGACCTCCCAGCACCCATTCTACGCCACCCCTCAGCACCCTCGCCGCTCTACCACACCTGCTCGCCTCACTCCGACACCTACTGTGGCATCCCCCTCTTCACACTCGTCCCACCACCGACAGCAACCCCCAACAGCGTGCCTCTACCCTCACAACCACGCTGTTCTTCCAGCGCCGTCGAACACCCACTACTCAGACCCGCGAGACAGCCCCATCCTGCCCCTCCCTCCTCTGCTCAGCCCAAGCTGCCACCTGTCCTCTTTCCCCTCTCGCCATGCCTCCTCGCCATCGCCTGTAGCATAGCCTCACCCGCTAGCCCACGCTCACCCCACGCCCTCCGACAGCCTCCTCTCCTCGCTATCCAGATCCGAAGCACCGCGCCACCCCTCTAGACCCAGATCCGCCGACCAGAGCCCCCACGTCGCTGTTCAGTCCTCACCACACCGTTACCCTTCACCCTCGTCACGCCGTTGTTTGGGTGGGAAATCGATTTCTTCATTGTATAACTTATTACAACTTCGGTCGTTACAACAAGTTCAAAAAAAGATTGTTCTTTTTATAAGACCTTTCCATATAAAATTAAAATTACAATCTCCTTCAAACAAACGCAACGGGTGTTTATCGCCCGTTGCTTACGTGGGATCTTTGCCTGTGACGGGGACGTTGATATCTATGGACCACCAAATGATCAGATAAGATCCGGAGCTTTGTTGATTCACGAAGGAATAAAGAAACTGAAGCAATTATCTCGGCAACAGCGAGATAATCACTCTTCTTGAGATCACCGTAACGGGGCAATCTCAAGGGAAGGAACCGGACTGCTGATCTGACAAACTCCTCTTCTTTATGCCGAAGAATTCACTGATATCTCCTCCTCCTCTCTAAAATTCATGGCTCTTCAGTCCTCAGTTAGCAGGGCTTCGCCAACGCTCGAGAATTCCAGATCTGGAAAAAATGAAGGCCCTGGGGCTGTATTTATAAGCTTCAGGACCTCTGTTTTTGGATAAGAATGGTTGATTCACTCTTATCCTTAGTTGTAACCACTTAACCATGTTCTTAAATGATATTTTATCAGTTAGAACAAATCCAGGTGGTTAACATTAAAAAACAGCTTAAAACTGCCAAAATTGATTTTCGGGGCTGCGGACACCCGTGGGTGTCTCGGTCTGTCCGAGACACCTCTGGGTATCTCGGGTATTTTAGCTCTAACTTCGTTATATGACATTCGAATAATATAATTTAAGATGCGTTGGAAAGATAACAAAGATATCTACAACTTTTATCTTTTGAGATTTTTCATATTCGAATTGAATCAAAGCCAAAATCTCCATTCTTCTCTGAGAGACCAACATTGTCTTAGAATTCTGAGGCAGTTGGTATTTTGGCTTTATCTCTCGTATACGATCTCAGAATGAGTTGATCTAAGATGAGTTAGAAAGCAAACAAGGAGTTCTACAACTTTCACTTTTTGAGTTTCTTTAGATTCAAAGCGCATCATAGGAAACATAGCTCTACAAGGTCTGAGACACCAAGGGGTGTCTCGGCCTAGCTGAGATACTAAGAGGTGTCTCGCTGAGGCCCTGAACGTAGTTCTGTGCGTCTTGTCCGTTTTAGCCGTATCTTCATCGTCTGAACTCGGAATCGTACGATTCAAGATGCATCGAAAATCCATCAAGAAGATATACAAGCTCCTATAATTGAATCATCTGTAGAGTGGATGGGACATGGGGGGTATTTCGTCTTTCGTAAGTGACACGGAGCTCCCGATCAGTTCGTGTTTTCGTTATTCCGAAGTTCCGTTACTTCGCATGGTTCATTGACTCACTTCATGCACTTGTCATCATCAAATGAGCTTCTGTGACTCAGATGACGACATTCATCATCTTTTCTTTGTCTCGAGTTGCGTGCAAGGAACAATAGGTAATTTTTGACACCTACAGCCGTCGCCAGCCAACAGTTCTCCTCTGACGTTTGCAACCCCAACCGTCAGATCCGCCGCTCCTCCCTCCTCCCACCGACGTCGCTAGCCACACCCGCAGCCAACTCGTCGTAGGCAAGATCCCACTTGCTCAGATCTGAATTTTTGTATTTATTATGAATTATCTGCAATTTTAGATCTGTTAATAATTATCTACATGTGCTTGTTGTTGAAATTGTGAATTATCTGCTTATGTTAGTTTTTGATATACTTATCTGCATAGATTTGATGAATAATATTAAATAAATTATAATTATGTGATAAATAGTATTTTCAGAATAATTATAATAGATTAAAGAATTTATTTTGACAACGGGACTATTTTAGAATAATTATAATATTTTTTAGAATTTATTTTGTTTACGAGATCATTTTAGAATGGTAAATATTTTTAAAAGAATTTATTTTGGGAAAATAGACTATTTTGAATTAGTGAGAATTTATCTTGTAAAAAGATTATTTTTGATTTATGAATTTAATATTTTAAAAGATTATTTTTAGAATAATTATGGTGAGAGACAATTTGAAAGGAATTTATTTTGTAAAAGAATCATTTATTTGAATTAATTTAGTTTATGAACGTGTTATGGATGATTGTTGACCGCGACATTTTATGTGCAATACATCCACCGATTCTATGATTCTTATTTTAATTACGTGATATACCATGTTTTATTTGCATAGAATTAGCTACATTTATTAATTCTTATTGTGTTTGAGAACCATTAGTAGTTCATGACTTAGTGGCCTTACGCGTCATGAACAAGACTTAGTGACATGTGTGTGTATGTTGACTAAATTAGGAGGTGAACCAGAATTCTATTATAGGTCATGTTTGTTGACTTAGAAAAACAAGAGATGTTGGGATGGGAAAGTCTTGGTTTGCATGATCGGATGTGGTTGTTGATTTATCTTCCAGACTCGCACTAGTGACATGTTTCATCCTGGGGTTGGTTTGTTGGACCAAGTGGCCTGTTTTGTCACTTTGGTCAGTGACCTATTTTGTCACCTGAGCTTTGCCTGAGTTCAGACCAGGCTGAGATCAGATTGTGTGTAGTCCTCTCACCGACTGTTTCTCGGTATTTGATGCGCGTAGGGGATTGTGAACAATCAGTTTTCCAGTATTGCGAACTTTTTGTGAACAATCAGTTTTCTAGTAATGCGAACTTTGACCTATTTGAGAGTGGACCAGTGAGCTATTATAGGATGGTTAGTAGCATGACCCCATTCCTAGATAATTTGATTGATTATTATAATCTAGTGGTGATTTGCATCTAGTGGTTAGAATTTTAGTTGCATACTTCTATTTTTATTATTATTGTCTTTGTTTTGGTCATTCGTCCGTTTCTCTTCTCCCTTGTGGGATCTTGCCGTGTGCCATGCACGCTGACGTACACCTATTTTCTCTGGTGTACGTCAGATTTAGAGGACGGACAGGTCTAGTATGGAGATGCCTTGTAGTCAGAGTGTATTCCAGATGGAGCAGAAGAGCAAGCTGAAGCTTAGTCTTTTCATTCCGTAGTTGTTGACGTATATTAGATTATTCATATAGTACTTTCTCTTTTAGTATTTGAGGGATTAGATATTTTTACGGTACTTCGGTTTAAGCTGTTAGACTATGTATTTTTCATATCTTGTTGGACTATTTTGTAATAAGTGCATGTTTGACCCAAACTTTATGTCTTAGATGTTATTCCATTTGTGATATGACATTTCTTATTCTGAGTTGTTTATGATATTCTTGCTAATTGTGATCGGGGACCTGTGACTTCGCATTTGTATATTACTTGACTCTTAGCGTATTAAGTTGAGAAGAAATGTTTATTTTATTTATTCTCCTCAATCTAATATATCACGGGCTTGTTCACGTTCCGATTCCACGGTATTTTGGGAAGCGGGGCGTGATAGGCTTTTTGGTGGCCCATGTAGCTCACTGTCCCGAGTGCCAACTACTAAGAATATAATGGACAATTTAGATGTATATCATATTTCATCTATAAGACTACAATTAAGCCCTTATCCTATTATCTTAATAACTATGTTTTAGTTCCTAATTTTTTTCAATTTTTTTATTTTGATTTTGACCTTAGTTTTCCTCTTGATCCTCGCTTTCCTTCAGAACCATGGTGGATACGTGTAGCTATGGTAACCCGTCTGGTAGTAATGCCCCGCCGCTTGAAGTGGACCCGAACCAACTCCTGGTGATGATTTAGGGATTGGTTACTAATCAGCAACATCTGGCTGGGCAACTGCAGCGGGAGCCACAACACCAGCCTCCCCCTCGCGTAGAGTCTGGTGTTAGAGAATTTTGATATATGCAACCCCCTTCTTTCTCTGGTGCTTAAGGACGTCTAGCAACAGAGGAGTTCCTAAAGGTTACCAAGACCATCCTAACGGTGACCCGTATTGCTCCTTTAGAGTGGGTGGATCTTATGGATATCCAGCTCACTAATACCGCTCGGATCTGGTGGGCTGTTGAGAAGACCCATCTTGAGAGGCCAATCCTGTGGGAGATGTTCACGGAGCGCTTCAACATGAAGTATTTTCCTCATTGAGCTCGGGATGAACTTCTGTGTAGATTTGTTGTGCTCAAGCAGGGAGGTCAATTGGTTGAAGAGTACGAAGCTGAGTTCTCCTCCCTTAGTCGATACGCTCCTCACTTGGTCACCGACCCTGCTATCAGGAGGTATCAGTTCCAGAAGGGTTTCGATAAGTATATAAGATTAGCTCTTGTTGATAGAGCACTTACAACTCATGACACTGTATTGGATGTAGCGCACGAGATCGAGAGTGTTCAGAAGGAACCTAAAGATCCACATGTGGTTCAGAGTAGAACACCAGTATCCCCAGCTCAGAATGTCGAGCGTCCCCTCCGAGGCAGCAGCAGGCTTCGCAGAGGTAGCAGTTTTCTCAGCATCAGCCACATACTCAGGCCCACACCTATTGGGACTTCGCTGGGCATACTCAGCAGGAGTGCTGCAAGCATCTTAGTCTATGCTACACATGTGGATTCCCCGACTATGTCAGTCAGGACTGTCCGCAGCGGCAGCAGGCCCACTTGCCCCCACCTCCAGCTCAGCACAAACCCTATCCTCGAGCAGGGCCTCTTCCTCTATAATAGCAGGTTTATCTGGAAGTGTGAAGGTAGCAACCACCATGTCAGACATTTATGATGTCAGCTGTGGAAGCTGAGGCGAACGACCAGGTTATGAGTGCTAAGTTTAGTTGCATACAAATTTTCCTTATTTAGCTTTACCTGATGATATCATGCTAGGATTGTTTATGAGTGCTAAGTTTAGTTGCATTTACCTCCTCCTGTAATAGGCAAGGTTCTTGTTTCTTTCGTTCCTACTTTATCACTCTTTGATTCTAGAGCTTCCCATTGTTTCTTGTCTCGTCAATTTGAGAGTACCCACTCTCTTCCTATAACTCCACTGACTACGGGATGGAATATTAACACTGGCAGTGGTGTTTTAGTAGCATCCAGTGGTTATGAAGCATGCCCGGTGGTCATCAGCGGTCGAGATCTCTTTGCAGATTTTTTGGTGATTGATTTGCCGAGTTTTGATGTAGTATTTGGAATGGATTGGTTGGGGTCGTTCTTTGCCACTATTGATTTTTACCGTCGATGCATAGTATTTGAGATACCGGATCACCCAAGGTTTGAATTCCTCAATGGCAGTACATTAGCTGGACCAATAGAGTACAAAGCTAAACTGAAGAAGGCAACGTTTGCTGCTATGCAGGTAGAACCTGAGAAGCTAATTGTAGTTCGGGAATTTGAAGATGTATTCCTCGACGACATTTACGGGTTGCTACTAGATCGAGCAGTTGAGTTTTCTATAGAATTGAAGCCTGTAACTGCTCCGATCTCAAAGACTCCTTTTCGTATGCCTCTAGCTGAGTTGGCTGAGCTTCAGACTCAGTTAGATGATCTTATGTAGAGAGGCTTGATACGACCCAGTGTATCGGCCTGGGGAGATCCTGTGTTGCTTGTGGGTAAGAAGGATGGATCCAAGCAGATGTACATCAACTACGTGAGTTGAATGCTATGACAGTGAAGAATAAGTATTCACTTCCTCGTATTAATGATATCTTCTAAGCTAGATTTATAGAGCGGGTATCACTAGGTGAAGATCAAGGACACTGATGTTCCCAAAACTGTGTTCCGGATGAGATATGGACATTATGAGTTCTTAGTGATGTCGTTTGGTGTGACTAATGCGCCGACAATATTCATGAACCTGATGAATCTGGTACTCTATGATGTACTGGATAAGTTTGTAGAAGTCTTTATTGATGATATCCTGGTATACTCTAAGAGTGAAGCGGAGCATGCAGAGCATTTGTGGTACATGTTGAAGACCTTGAGAGAGCATCGGCTATTCTCCAAGTATAGTAAATGTTAGTTTTGGATAGATCGTATTACATTTCTAGGACACGTGGTGTCAAGAGACACATATCTGTGGATCCAGAGAAGGTATCTGTAGTGAATGATTGGCCTACCCCTAAGACGGCGTCTGACATTAAGAGCTTTTTGAGATTAGCTGGATACTACCGTTTCTTCATCAGAGATTTCTCGAAGATTGCAGAGCTGATGACATGACTTACGAGGAAGGATGTTAAGTTTGTCTGGTACGACACTTGTGAGCAGGCGTTTGAGGAGTTAAAGTTTTGACTGATCTCGGCCCCGGTCTTGATGATACTAGATAAGAGTGGGAACTTTGAGGTTTTTTACGACGCATCTAGTAGAGGATTGGGATGTGTTCTCCAGTAGGATGGTCATGTGGTAGCGTATGCCTCTCGTTAGTTGAAGAAGCATGAGCAGAATTATCCTACCCACGACCTAGAGTCGGCAGCTATGATTTTTTCCCTTAAGCTTTAGAGGCATTATTTGTTGGGAGAGAAAGTGAAGGTGTTCACTGACCACAAGAGCTTGAAGTACATATTTACTCAGAAGGAGCTCAACATGAGGTAGCGCCAATGGTTAGAGCTGATGGTAGATTACGACATTGATCTTCAGTACCACCCTAGCAAGACCAATGTAGTACCATACGCTTTGAGCCATTTGCCGGTGATCATGACCCTCATAGATTAGTGGAGAATTCAGCAG